TGGCTCATTTGCTCTTCAATGCTGTGGGAGTGCTTCTGCAGGTGCATTGCATTCCTCCATGCTGAGTGCTGGCTCTGCTGCTGGCTGGCACTGAGTGTGGGCATCAGTGTGTCCAGCATCGGAGATGTGCTCAGAGCAGAAGGGGCTCGCGGTGCTCGGGGGGGATAAGCCATGCAATGGTGAATTCTTTAATTTTCTGGCAGCTTCAGCTCCTTTCTATGGTGGCAAAGAGCATGAAAGGGAGACTGGAATTTCCTCCTTTCACTTGGGCTGGGCCCAAGGTTTGTTTCTGTTACGGGGACAACGCCGACTCAGATTTGCACCAACTCTAAAATCCCAGACCAAAAAGCATTGGTGCTGAGACTTGTTTTATTTTTTTTTTTCCCCCTTATTTTCTTTTCCTTTTTAATCAGATGTTTATTTCTCCTGTGGTTTTGTTCATCATGCTGGGACTGGGCACCTATCGCTCTCCCTGAGCAAAAGGACAGAGCAGCCCCACGCATGGGGAAGGAGAGACCTCGAAGGAAGGCAAGAGCTCTGGGCTCTGGCCAGCAGACGGGATGCAAAGCTGCCAGTGGTGCCATTGATGTTCATTCTGTGTTCTGACTGACCTGGATTCACAGCCCCCAGTGTGGCCCACAGCCCTCACCTGGGGACCGTGCTGCATTTCCTTCCAGCCCTCATTTTTCATCTGCAGAGCTGAACCTATTAATACTTTTTTTGGCAAACGCAAAAGAAAAATAATAATAATAATAATGTAATCCTCTCCTGTAAAAACAGCTGATTCAGATCCGTGGTATCTTGATGTGGCAGAAAGAAATGAGTTACTGCACGTGGGCTGAGCTGCAACTGGGCTTTGGGTGTTCAGCACTGAGCAGCTGGGATGAAATGGTGTTGTGGTGCCATGGGGTTGTCCTATAGGGCTGTGCTGTAGGGCTGTGCTATGGGGTTGTCCTATGGGGCTGTGCTGTAGGGCTGTGTCACTGGGGCTGTGCTGTAGGGCTGTGTCACTGGGGTTGTCCTATGGGGCTGTGCCATGGGGTTGTCCTATAGGGCTGTGCTGTAGGGCTGTGTCACTGGGGTTGTCCTATGGGGCTGTGCCATGGGGCTGTGCTGTAGAGCTGTGCCATTGGGGTTGTGCTGTAGGGCTGTGCTATGGGGCTATAGGGCTGTGCTGCGGGGCTGCCAGGAGCGGTGCTTGCTGCCCACTGCTGTGTCAGGGAGAAGTCTAAGCCAGGAATCCCATAAATGATCCCATAATCTCCATTCTGAACTGGAGGATAGGGAGTAAAGGCTTAAACCACCTGTGCATTCTCCCAGCCCTCAGACAGCATCCAGGAATGCAGCAAACACTGTGTTCAGGGGGTCAGAATTTGCCCAAACTGTGCCACGAGTCAAAACGTAAAGCAAAGTCCACCTGCAGAGCTGCAGTTGCTGATGTCTCTCCCATCACTGGGTGAGGAGGCTCTTACAGCCGCCCTCGTGCATCCTCCTCTGCCTTTGGAAGTGCTCAGGGTCAGAAAAGAGGAGAGGATTCAGGGGAGATGAGCACCAGCACAACAAGTTGGACTGGCACCAGGTGCTGCACTCTGGTACTGAGCAGGCAGGAATGGGCAATGCTGAGTGCAGATGGAAATGTGGACCCCCAGGTACAGAATGGCTCTAAGGTCCCGCTGTGCACCATGCAGGTTGATGAGAGTTCTTTTCCTGTCCTGCAAAAGAAAGCACAGAACCGCCCCAAGCCATGAGATCCAACGGGGTTTCCATGCAGAGGGTGGTGGTGGGGGAAGCAAACCCGCAGCTCTCTGCAGATAGAGGACGGAGAAGGTGGGGAACATTTTTTAAAAACGTTCCGAAAACATTCCATCCTCTATAGGAATCAAAGCCCCATTGAAGGCCACAGAACCGCTCACATTCGAGGTTTAATGAAAACCAAACTTTTCGTGCCCCTGTGTTTTTCTTTGCAGGGATTTCCAGGGGAACACAACGGAACCGAAGGGGCGGATGGGGGGAACTTGGCTGCCATTCCTAGCATCCTGATAGGGCTCTCACTGTGCTTTTTGTTTCGGGGTTTATAGATAAGGCAGCCCACGGGTTGGGGGTCTGTCGGGGTGCTCTCAGAGCTGGAGGAGTGGGGATGCATGGCCAGGGGGGCCCTACAGCACCGCAGAGCCCCCCCGTGTTTTGCAGCATGTTTAATCCCCTCGTTAACGTCCCCCCATTAGAACAATTCATTCTTTCACTCCAGCTCAAACACCCACCTTGGCTTTACAGCTCATTTCATTTATGACTGAGAAATGAAATCACGGTATCGATTTCACGGCAGGCAGCGAACAAACCCGGGTGTTCCCAGCTCTGCCGACCTCCAGAAACAGCAAAACCCACCAACGGCGACGGGCAGCGCCCCTGGGGACCCATCCCTGTGCCAAACCCATCTTAAAGAATTACATAGATGTGCTTCCAGGGAGCTGGGAGGGGCTTTGCAAGTCGCTCCAATGGAAAGGAAATCCTCTGCCAGGCAGCGCTGGTGAAAATGTTCCTCCTGGAGCAGAGCCAGGGGCCGGATGGGAGCCAGGGAGGGGCTGGAGGTGGTGGGGACACCAACCCGCTCTAGGCTGCAGTTTATTCATCCCCAAAGGGCCACTGGTGTTGTTTCATCCCTCCTGTTTTGCTGCATGGCGCAGCCATGGGCACCACCGCTCTGTGTGTTGGGGCTGCTGCCCCACGGTTCCAGCAGGGCTGGGCAGGAGCCACACAATAAGCAGTGATGTCCATAGCTGGATGCACAGCCCTGCAAGAAACCGAGTGCCCAGGAGGTGCTGGGCAGTGGCAGAGAGCTGCTGGGGGTGGTGTGGTGGTGCTGCTGGGCACGTGTCCCCTGCCACGTGGACATGGGGACAGGGTGCCTGTTGGTGCCCTTCTGGGCACTACATACACACACACACACACACACACACACACACTCCTTGCTGCCCCATCACCTCCCCTTACTCCAGACACTGCTTGCTCTCTCCATGCCTAACATGGGGTCACACAGCCCAGCTCCCCACCCTGCCCTGCCCTGTTTCTTTGCAGCCGGGCTGCTCCCACTGATGGCAATGGAGGAGTCAGCATCCCGACAGCACATTGCCTTTGTAGAGCTGAGCCAAGGGTGCAGAGCACACAGATGTGCAGAGTGAGAGCGTATTTTAATGTAGAGCCTTCTGATCTCCCAGCCCAGCCCAAGAGAAAACACCTTCCCAGCGTCCCGCCCTGCTGCTGTCAGGGGATGAACAGTTATGCAGTTGGCTTTGTTTGCATGACTTCAATAAGAAACAGTGTCTGTGATTAAATTGCAGCCCTCGTGCGCAGCGGCACGCTGTGCGCTTCGGGGGAAGCTCAGGCTGCACTTAATGTGCTCTATGCAGCTGCTGCAGAACTGGTGCGTGCTGCTGCCCAAGGGCGTGGGGTGGCACTGAGACTCACACCCCAGTGACATGGCCCTGTGGGGCAGAAGAGGGCTGGAAGGGTGATGGGGATCCAAGGACATGGGGTTAGGTTTGGGGTCTGAGAGGTGATGGGGATCCAGGGATGTGGAATTAGATTTGGGGTCTGGAAGGTGATGGGGAACCAGGGCCATGGTATTAGGTTTGGGGTCTGGGAGTGATGGGATCGAGGGACATGGGGTTTGGTTTGGCACTGGGAAAGATGCTGAGCTGCAGGTGTTGGGGGAGCAGTCACCCTGGCAGGGTCATGCAGTGGGATCTGTGCTGGAGCCCTATTTGTAGTACAGCACACAATGGGTGATGGGCAATGGGTGATGAGCAATGGGCAGTGGGCAATGGGAGATTAGAGCTGAGTGATGGGTTGTGGGCAGTCAATGGGGTCAGTGGGTGGTGGTGGGTGATGGGTGACAAGGGATGAGCAATGGGAGATGGGTGATGGGCAATGGGTGATGGTTGGGTGATGGGCAATGGACAATGGGTGATGGTGATGGGTGATAGCACCCAGTGGGGGTCGGAGGTCCCAGGGCTCCTCACATCTGGCCCCACTGCTTCAAAGGGACAGGACTGTGCCTGTGGGGCACTGGCTGCTGCCCTGCACAAGGCTCATTAATTGTTTGATGAGGGAAAGGTGTGGTCCTGTGGCATGGCACCAAGGCGGGCTCCATCCCACCTGCTCTGCATTGCATAAAAGTTTTGGGGAAGTGAAACCATTATTTGCTGCCATTAAAAGAGGAGCTGGGCTCAGGGTTTGGTGCGGAAGAACGCAGCGCTGCGGGTGAGGAGTGAGCAGATGGGAGGCACCAGGAACTTGTAACCGTACGTTTATTATTCCACATGGAAAACCATTAAAACGATTACACGGAGGCCTGACAATATAATCATGTACAATGGATAAGAACATCGACACCAATAATGGAAAAGCAGAACTGACCACTTTGCTATGGCTTCGTACCAACGGCGAGGAGGAACCCGGCCATCCTCTGGAAGCCAACGCAGCAGCGACGTCCCCAATGACTTCACCAGGAGCAGCCCCTCCCCACCCCCACCCACCCACCCACCCACCCACCTCCCCCCACCCCAGTGACAAGTGCTACAGGTTAAAAAGATGGGCTACATATTAAATAGAGGGCATTGCCTTCAAGTAGGGCCGGTACGTTACACAACAACCACATGATTTGGTATCGCTAGCATTTCTTTTTAATGTCCATTGGAAGACACCATTAAAAAAAAAAAACACAAAAACCACAACAGCTTTGGCCTTCTTTTATCTACAGCGTTCTCTGTTCTCATCTCCTTAGCTCTTCGTTGTCGTTTTACCCTGCATGTACAAGTATTAGAAGCATTCTTAAGAATCGGATCCTTCAACACATTTAAGAATTATATTATTATAACAAATATGACCAAAAAATTAGATTTTATAGTTAAATATTCTTTGAGCCGGACAAAGGGGTTCATACTGTACAAGCAATTGTGCATTTTCTTTTTTTTTTTCTTTCTTTTTTTTTTTTTTTTTTAAAAAAAAAAAGCAAATTATAGTGCAAAGCAAAAAACATTGGCCTGTCTCGTGACCATCTGCATCCCATAGAGGTGCGTATATTTACGCCTTCACATGACAATATGTCATAAAAACAACATCGTTGCTTTTCTTTTTAATTCACTACGAACAGTCTTAAATTAAGCTAGTCCTACGAATGCCTTGTTTGCTTGTGCTTTCAATCAGTGGTGCGATTGGATGATGAATATAAATGCATCCAAACACAGGCTGCTCCGGTCCAGTTTCTCCAGCTGGGAGCACCCAAAGGTGCCTGCTGTTTGCTCAAGGACGTGAACGTTGCAGTTTTGCTGGGGAAGGGATTTGGGGGGGTGGATGAACCTTATAGAAGAGTTGTTTCTCTTGTTGCATGTTTAACTCACTGAGTGGTCATCGCAGCTTTCCGACTAAATGGGGATGCCTTGCTCCCATCTCTACGTGGTAGTGCAATTAGAACTGATTGCTGATGAGCTACCAACTGAGATTTGGCAAGAGGTGTTGCGGCCCATAAGGGCATAAATTCAGCAGGGAGGGCAGCTGCTGGGTTTATGTTTTCTTATGCTCGTGCACAGAGAGGCACAATGCGGGTCGTGGAATCTTTAAGATTGGAAGAGACCTCTAAGGTCATCGTGTCCAACCACCAACCCAGCACTGGTGGGAATGGATGGAACCACGGTGTGCGTTGGGGCTCAGAGAGAACCCCAGTGGTTCCACAGTCACCCCAAATGCCGGTCCTTCAGCTGCTGAGCCGACACCAGCACTCCAGGACACCTGGAGGAAAGGAAGGGATGTGGGATGACAGCTGGCGTTGCTTGACGACCTTCCCACCATTAAAGGGGCTGAATAGGAAGCGCTCCTTTCTCCAGATCTCAGTTGGCGCTATCAGCACGCACTGATAAGTGCCAGTCGTTGCTTAATAAAACAAGTCATCCTGTGTCGATCCACTCCTGGTGAAAACACAGGAAAGAATCACAGCAGGAGGATGCTTCGCCACCAGCTGTGTGCGCAGGCGCTCAGAGAGGATCCAAAGAAGACCCACAGACCCACGGCAGCGCAGTGCCAAAAGTTCCCCAGCCCCACAGCAGCTCAGGAGCTGGGAAGTGCATCTCACACATCTCGGATTGCCCCCAACACCGCCTTCATGTCACACGCCACCATCATCACCATGGCTGAGATCTGCTAAGAGGAGCAAAGAATTGAACGGTGAGGTCAAGGCGAGAGAGCAAACAAAACACAACGCATCGTGTAAAAAGTACATCTCATATGTAAACATAGAGGAGAGGGGAGGGCCTGCCGGGCACGGGATCAGCCACGCTACTGCTTAAAAAACGACGACAATGCACAGAAATGAACAATACAACCTCTGTCGTCAGCAAGGAATAATCACAGCCCCATCACAGCTCCCCTTCACGTGGCTGATGCCGACCCATGAGGAACATACAGCCTGTAACTTGTGCTGTAAACCAGAGCTCTTTGCTGGGCAGCAGCCCTACGCTCTGGGAGGGAATGAGAGGAGACAAAGGTTTCTTTCCTTTTTTTTTTTTTTTCTTCCTTTTTTTTTTTTTTTTTTTCCTTTTTTTTCAGTTCAGTCTTTGTGCTTCGGCACAGAGATGGCTCGGGTGATTTCCTGCTCTTGTCTCTGGAGCGCTTTGCAGAAGGGCGAGCTTTCCCTGACTCCTGACTGCTCTTTGTGGGGATGAGGGTGCAAGTGAGATGACCGAGAAGTGTTCGGCAGTAAACAAACATCTGAATCCACGCATCTTTTTTTTCCCTATGTACAATCCACATATTAAAACCATATGAAAGGAACCACATCAAGCGACAAATTCAAGCCTTGTGGACGTTCATCTTGAAATGTAACGCAGGTCCCGGCCCAGCTTTGCTTGATGTTTGCCCGTGGTTATGTGTAGAGGATTCCTCCTGCTTTGCTTTTGGTTTGGGAGACTTTGGTTTACCTTTTCCCTCGGCATCATTTCGATGGGAAAGGAGTAACGTCACGACGGCCGATCTGCTTAAAGCTCTCGGTGCCCAGCTGCCCTCCTCCTTCCTAGTAGGGTCTCCAAACCGACTCATCCATCCTCCCAGTAGTCGTCATGGTTGTCGGTGAGTTACTGTGGCTCCCGTCCGCATCCACCCCGTCATTCTGATTGCCCAGGTTGGGGTTCATTAAGTTGTTCCCCGCCGAGGCGCTCGTACACGAAGAGAGCATCCGGGTGGGAGAGCGCTCACCACCCGCCACCATGGAGAACTGGTACGAGCCCGATGACGTGCCGTAGTACAAATGGTAGGGAGAGGGGTTGGTCTGGAAGGGTCCGCTCTGATTCTGCGTGGAGCCGGGGTAGGGAGGAGGCAGGTAGGTGTGGTGGAAACGCGTGGTGGTGGGCATGCTGGTCATGCTGATGCCCCCGATGCCCGTGGCTGAAGGGGTTGCGGTGTAGGAGAAGGCGGCTGACATGGCGCCGGGGTAATGCATCCGTGGGTCGGAGAACCTGGTCTCGGTGAGGGTTGGCAGCGAGGGGAAGGAGCGGTCGAACTGCCGCGGGTCCGAGAAGGGGCTCAGCTCTGATGTGCCTGTGGGGTGCAGGGAGAGAGCGGGCGGTCAGAGCGCCGTGCTGGCAGCGTGCAGCTGGTGCTGCAGCCACGCTCTGCACGAGGAATTAAAGCCAGAGGGAAAGAATGTCTCTAGGATCTGCTGGGGATGAGAGATGGGAGACTTAACTACAAAAACCCTGAACCCATCTTGTTTGAGTCGTTCCCATTTCCTGTCCTGAAATTTGTTGTTTCCCATCCAAGAAGGGACACGACTAAGCTGATTCCTCCAGGGGTCTATTTGTCCCTGGTAGATTAAAAAAAAAAACAACAACAACAAGACCCACCTCATAAGCAAAGAAAGAAAAAAAAGAAATGTTTAGCCATTACATCAGCTGTGTAGTAAATAGATGGATGCAGCCCCAGACGGCCGCTCCCCAGATAGCCGTGCTGTGTACACACGCACACACGGAGCCAGGGAGGAAAAGCTGGAGCCCAGACTGGGCTGCTGAGCCTTCTTGTGGGTGGCCTGTTCGTGCTGATACCATCAGGGGATGGAGCTGATAAACACACGGCTGAAAACTCCCAAGCTAGGAGCCACAACATCCCCTCGCTCGCTTTGCTCTGTGTATTTTTCTCCATCCAAGAGGATAAAGAGAGTGAGAAAACCAGGCTTTCCTCTGCTGGGGGAAGGGAGCCCTGGGTCAGCATGGGAGATGCTGCCCAGCTCCCTTCTCGGGGGCTATGGATGCACAGTGGGGCACAGCCTGGTGCTGTCAGGTCCTTCCTTTGCAGGAAACCCAGAGGGAAGGGGAGCCCACACCGGCAGCTCCTGTTGGGACCCGAGAGGTTTCTGTGCCCACCCCTGTTGCCCTGAGACCATTTCCTCACACAGCCCTCTGTGCAGGGGGCTCTCGAGGCAGAGAGTTTTGCTCTCCAAGGAGAGATGTGAAATCCTGCTCCTTGCAGCTCAGCAGCCCACACCAAACTCTGGCAAAGGCTGTGCAGGAGGGCACGGACATAAAGGCCACCAGTGCACTTTTCTCAGCCTTTCCACACCACTCGTGAAACAAAAACCTCCAGGAAGAGCAGTTCCAGCATAGAGAGTGCAGCTGGCACACGGAGCTCAGAGCTGAGGGCTGTCTGGAGGCGGCTTTCCCTCACTAAAGGCAGGGAGCTGCACCTTGCTGCTTTGGGAGCAGAATGGCCTTTGGCCGTAGCAACTTTTTCTCCAGGCTCACCTCCTCCCCGTGTTCTGCAGGACGAGACACGCTCTTCCAAACTACGGGGAAATCCCTGCAGTGTTTCCCCAGGAAAAAAAACACCCCGGCTGCTTCCTTCTAGCTGAGCAGAGGCTGCGGCTCACGCTGGGGGTGCAGATGGAGAGAGATGGGATCTGCACCCCTCCTGGTCTGGGTGAGTCCTGCAGCCCTCAGAGGAGCAGGCGGTGCCCGCTTCCCACGCAGGCTCCACGCAGGAGAAAGGAGGGGTGCCTGCGTGGGGAACGTGGCTGTGGCTTCGGTGCGAGGAGATAAGAGAAGAGCAGCTCAAAACTGTCACGAACTGCAATGCGCTGCCGCCCCTCTGCGCACTGCATTCAGGGCTGTGTGCTTGGGGCTGGCTGGAAAAGCACTCACAAGTGAACAAACCGAGTTGGTTTCACACTCTGGTTTGCCTGCAGGATGCTCTGTCCCAGCACAAAGCTGCACTACCGCAAAGCACACGGGCTCCAAATCCCCCAGAACGCAGTGATGCTCAGCTGCTGCCCCAGAGCCAATGATGGCCCCCAGTAATCGGACCGTGCCCCTCTGTTGGCTCCCACACACCCGTAAATGATACTCCAGAAAATGGAAATAAAACACGAGTGCTCGGGGCACATTTCCCTTCTGCTTCATCACACTCAAAGGGTCCTTTAAAAGCTCCGTGTTCTTGGCTGCAATTTGCAACACTTGGTAATGGGTACTTGCTGCTAATTCAGACACAAGAGTGTGAGAGCGCTAATTACAGCCGCGTTCTCATCCTCACCTTTGGGCTGAAGGCTCCCCTAAAACAAAACTCCATTTCTCTGCTATCCCTCACCTACACCAACCCCACGAGAGCTGCTCCGGGACGCTCGGACAGCGGCAGCCGCGGCCGGTCGGGCTTCTCGGGCTTCCCATCCCCGCTGCCCACCGTCGGTTCCGCACCGCAGAGCAGGGAGCAGCCACGGGCTGTCGGTCCGACTGCCGGCAGAGGGCACGGGGCCGCGATCCGAGGCGGAGGGGCCGCTAGAGGGAGCCGGGAGGCCGCCGGGCGAAGAGAAGCTCCGACCCGCTCCCCACGTCGGGGCTGCGCCGTCGGGGCTGCGCACAGATCCGACAGCCGCCCCTATTCCCCACGTCCGAAGAGAGACTCCTGGGGGAGGGAGGGGCTTAGGGACAACCCCAGGTGGAGAATGGCCGTAATACGCATCGCATTCACTCAGCAATAAAGCAGCCCTCCAGCTACACGCTGTGCAAACCCAGAGGGAAACTGCGCCCTCGGCCCCTTTGGCATAGCAGACAGAAGTCACGTCGGGTTTTTCCCATCCCCAGGGTTGTCCCCATCCCAGCACAGCCTCGCAGGGTGCACGCAGCGTGCTCTGCTCGCTCGCCATCCAACCCCCATTTGCTTTTTTGGGCCCTGGCAATCTGAGCTTTGAGTATTTCAGTTGTCCAGTTGCCAATCAAAATATTTGAAGGAAATGTTTATTTTCTTCTCGAAATCGCACCAGCTGCTGCACTAACTGAATAAGCCCATTTAGCTGTAAGAATTTAACCATTGTAAGAAGGAATTGAGCCCCCCCAACTACTCCAAAATCTGACCCAATCTATCAGCGGAAATGTCAATGTTTTGGATGGGAGTTTGGGGAAGTGAGGAATGTGTATTAAATAAAAGCCATGTAAAGGTCAAAGCCCTGATTAGTAATGCCACTGTCTCCTCGTTAGGGCCGTGCTGCCCAGGGGACCACGAGGCCAGGGCACACCCTGCTCTGTAATTGTGCAGCTGCAATATGCACTGTGAGAGGACCCCATATCCCCCCCACTCACAAAGCCTGATGAAAACAGACCCTCAGCCCCTTTGCTGATATCAGAACCGCTCTCAGGTGTCACAGCAGCTCTGCTTTCACCTCAGAGGAGATGTGGACTGAACTGGGTCAGTGTTGGTGGGTGCTTGCAGCAGCTTTGGGAGACCTTGTGGAGCCAAAGCAATGTGACACATGGAACCTGAGTGACTCCAAATGCCCCCCAGGGACCACCTCCTGGTCCCTGCTTTGGAGATGTGGAGAAGGTGCAATGGTTTATCCCTTAAGTCAGCAATAAAACAGAGCTTGAGCGTATACCATGCAACAGCCGCAAATCCACATAGCGTGTGGCACGCAGAGAGAATAAAGGGAATCTAAAGGGAACCTGATAACGTGGAACTTTCCGTGTGTACAGAACACATAAATATCGGCAGCCTGGCCAAATATCACTGCTTTATTTATATGCATATACGTGCCTTGCAAAATTGTCATGAAAAATTTAGCCCGAGGGAAAGCAAGCTCCTTTCCTGCCTTATGCCATGATGATTGACGACAATGTAAACACTAATGATATTTTATGCTCATGTATATAGTACGCACTCGTGCGCGAGACGGAGCGGGGACAGAAATCCTCTCCCCATCTACACCTCCTGCTCTTTTTTCTCCCATCATTTCTATGACGCTTGGATGGTTCTTTGGCATCTTTCTGACCTCTCTCTGCCTCCTTCCCCTGCTCCCAGGGCTCCATCCCAGCACGATGGGGCACTGGCCAAGGATGGGGAGAAGCAGCGCTGCAGGGGAAGGGGAATGGGGTGCACTGAGCCCCCCGGATCCAGCTCATCTCTAGACAAGCATTGCTCTCCTGCCACCCACACACACAGCCACGCTCCCACGGCTCTGTCACACATGTGAACAAGTTCATTTGTTTCCCAGTCAGAGCCAACTAAAAAAGAAAACGGCCTCTTCCTCTCACCCCGCAGAAAATAGAGCGGGTTTTATTTTGGGGGGGAAGGGGGAGGTGTTGAGAAAAAAAAGAAGAAAAAAAAAAAAAATGAGGGTGTGAACAGCATCCGTTGTTACACACCCATGGAGCAATTGTTCTGTATCTGATCGAAGCAGAGCACAAACCCGGTGCAAATACTTCCTCTGCAGAGCCTGACAAAAAAAAAAAAAACCTGAACCCAAACACAGCAGCGCACGGCGCTTATCGCCAGGCACCACCTCGACAGCACCCAGCACCTTTGCTTCTTGCTTTTCTAACTGCAAGCCCAGCACCCTGCAGCCCAGCTCTGCTTTCTCTCTCCCCCCTCCCCCCCTCATTGCTCTATTTGGAGGCAGCCCCCCAGTTCCCCACACCCCACAACTCTTTGAGGTCCATAGGACGTTTGTACCCCAGCCCACCCTTCACTGCCCTCCCCCTGCCCTCCTCTCCCCCCTTTCCAACCGGCCGAGCCCCCCCCGTTCTGTGCCACCACTGCTTACATCAGCTCTCCCCATCCCTGCTGTTTATGCCCTGGATGTATTTACAGAGCAACCCGCTCTGCTCTCAGCCTGCCCTATGCTAGACTAAACAAGCCTGCTGCCTGTCCTCCCTGCCCCCCCAGCCCCCCTTCCCTCACCATCCCCGCATTGCCCTGCATGGCTGAGCCACGAGCTAACGAGCTAACAGTGCTAACAGTGGGTGGGCCGAGCGGGAGCACAGCCCACACTGCAGACCCCCCAGCAGCTTCCCTGCGCTCTGCTCTTTACCTGCATTCAAAGAGTACTAAAAATAATACAAACCAACACAACAACGAGATTAAAACAAGCCCCGATGACATGAAAGGAAGCAGCAGGATTTACAACCCTGCCTGCACTCAGACCACCGCTCTGCCTGCACCCACAGCACGTGGGATGCTCCCAACCTGAGCCTCTCTGACCATCACCCCCAGCACCCATCACACAGCAGCAGTGCCACGGGGAGCTGCATAGAGATGGGTGCATTCGGAGCCCGGAAACCATCCTTGCAGTGTTCCTTCCTCCGAGGCTGAAGCCGAATCCCACAATATGTTTTCTTCCCACTAATGCTTGCCTGGCTTCCTTTGGAAACAATTTAGCCTCTGCCCACGGTAGAATGTTTTTATCCATTAAGAAACGGATATTTTAAAGAAACCATAAGTCGATCTGGACAGGGATTAGGAAGCAGCAATTCAGTGTATTTGCTGGGCCCATAATTCAGGACTTAACCTCAGAGCAGCCACGTTGCATTTCGGAAACAATGGGGCACTCGCTGGCTATGCCAAGAAGCTGCTTAAAAGTAATCTAATACTTTAAAATGTATATTTAAAAAGAAAGAATAGGAGAGAGAGAGAGAGATTTTACTTGAACTGCATATGAAGCGCTCTGCTGCTGAGCAGCCTGTGTTAAAAACACTGCATTTGAGAAATGGGTTGTTGAGAAACGGATCACAAACCCAACTGGTTCTACTGGGCAGCGTCCAGATGAGAGCTGAGGCTGTTCAGCAGCAGGCACCAAGGCTGGGAGGGGAGGGATGCAGTCTGCAAAAGCATCCAGCAGACGTTTACGGTGCTGTGAGGTCAGGGGAGCTCGGTTTTGCTGCAGCAACGTGAAGATGTTCAGTGCATCAGTCACAACAGCTCACTCTATTACTGCAGAGGTCGTATTTAAAATCCCTTTGCAATCGGCCCCCTGTACCCAAGGCCCCTCTGTGCTGCTGGACAACGCACACAACTCCTCCTGAGCAATTGGAGATGTTTCCAGCACGAGGCCAGCAGGCAGGAGCCGGCCGCCTGGGCGGTCCTCCTCTGTTGCAATGGGAATAAAGTGGTTCAGATGGAGCTGCTGGAGCACAGGCAGGGCAGCGAGGCTGCAGGGCTGTCTGGGCGCTCCCAAAGGATGTGCCTGTCAGCAGCCCACTTCCCCAGAGCAAGGGGCCCGAGAGGCAGCCAGCAGCAAGTTCCTTTAACATCTCGCTTCGCTTTTGAGAGCTACTTGATTTTTTTTTTTTTAATATATATTTTTTTTAATTTTTATTTAAAGCTCAAAGACAACAGTGGCAGTGAAGCCAGCACGCAAGGCTCTGGCATCGCGTGCCCCGTAATCAGGAACCATTTCAGGCCGTCCTAATGACAGCATGGTGCCTCACTGCAGAGATGGGAGAGCCAGGATTTCAAAACCTCGGATTTTCCAGACCTCACTGGGGGAAAATTGGGCCAAACCCTCAGTGGATGCCAATGGCTCTGCCCAGCCCATTGGGTTTCTCATTTTCTCTCCCAGCACCGTGGATGTGGCCAACAAACCCGGCGTGTTCAGGGCTGCAGACGTCTGTTCCATCAGAACAGAATGGTTCCCTGCTTAGCTGCAAGGGGCAAGGCAAGGCTGGAGCCTCTGCAATGAACTGACCGTGGGCAGTGGGCACTGCACTGCTGGCACAGCCCTCGGAGCCCATCGGTGCTCTACTGCTGGGAGGTGCTGCTGGGAGATGCTGAGCATCGCCGTGAGCGCTTTGCAGGAGATATTTATCACCCCCAGGAGCTGCTGCACCCAAAGTCTGCAAATGGCTGAGGGCCAATTCCTTTTCCATTTACACCAGTGCCCTTGGCGTGATCCCACTGCAGCCACAGGGGAGCACAGAGCAAACATCTCCAAAGGACCTCAATTCACCCAAAAGACAAACCCCATCTCCTGAGTTCCTTTCTGCCTCCCAACCTCCACATGCCCTACTTGAGGACCCGGGCTCTGCTTGCCTCGGTGGCTCAGGCTGTTCTCAGCACTCCAGCTCATCAGTTTTGCCACAAGCAGATTAGGGATTGCTCACACAGGGTCAGCAGAACGGGGAGGTCACCAGGAGAGGTTACAGGGGATGGGGACAGGAGGACCAGCATCACCCAGTGAGAGACAGCAGGGACTGGCGAACTTCAGCTTGCCCCATCCATCCCTCCTAACCAGTATCTCGTTATGCTTTTGCTAATCAGCTTCTCGTGTGTGTTACCTGAGAACGTGCCAAGTCGTGAGAATTACAGGCCTGTTAACTCCCGTGTTGTTCTTGGCATGGGGCAGCCTCCACTTGCTCGGGTAAAAATTACG